GAGAGAGAGAGATAATATGTTTGCCCGTGGCGTTACACGTCTACATGTTTAGCGAGGATCTATATTAAAGCAGATTTTAATCAAATATATTATATTAAAACTAAAGTATTTTTTGCTTGCTCGGTCGGAAAGGTACGACACATTGTCAGAGCGCTCCAGCAGCACCAGTAGCAGGAGCACCTCCAGTGTCCAGACGGGCTCCACGGGAACTAGTGAGGGATCCGGAGACAACTGGGTAGCCGAATGGGACGACTATATGAAGATCTTCGGAGGGGATTCGGAGGTAAGATTCAGTCAAGTATCGCTTGGTAACCACGCACGTTCTTACCAAAACATGACATGGCAACTCCTGACGTTTAGAACTTACACTCCCCAATAATTCATGCCGTTTGTTGAGGGAACAACTCAAAATGTAATGTTTATTTATTCATTTATTCACTCTCCCTACAGTTTCGATTTCCGAGGAACATAGTCTGCGACATCACGTCTTTAATAGACGACGACGACGACAATCAGACCGTCCTGTCTGGTTTCTCCGGTCTGACTGGACATGTGGCACTGAACAGCGAGACAACTTCTCTGTCCTCGAGTCTAACCTCTCTGGCAACCAGCGGCGTCGAGAGTTTAGACACCAGGCGAAGACAGATGGAGCCAACGGTGCAGGAAGGGTGGTCTAGTTGGGTGGTTGAACCCCCCACCCTGCCTAGCTCTAGCGGAGCGGGTCACAAATGGGCCGTGTGGTCTACCACTCCAATCAGCAGCCAGAAGACGCCTTCGGATGAAGCTCAGGGGTCATCAGATGGCAGAAAAGAGCCTGGAAAAAGTTCCTCGGACAGTATGAGTGTCGTTGGATGGACCCGGCTGCCCAAAACTGTACCCGGAGCGGCGCTTCAAACTAGCAGTCAGGATAAAACGTCTTCAGATGAAGCTCAAGGGTCATCAGATGCCCCTAAGGAACAGGGAAAAAGTTCCTCGGACAGTATGAGTGCTGTTGGGTGGACCCGGCTGCCCAAAACCGTAAGCCAAGCGGAGCTTCAAACAAGCAGTCAGGATAAAACTTCTTCAAATGAAACTCAAAGATCGTCAGACGATCCGAACGCCCGTAAGGAGAATGGGAAAACTTCCTCCGACAGTATGAGCGTAGTTGGGTGGACCCGGCCGCCTAAAACTGCTGTGCCTGACACACCGTTCCGCACCTACACGAGCGGGTCTACTTCGTCGCGAGGCTCGAGCCTGTTCGGGTGGACCGTCCTGCCTCGGATGGCCCCGAGCAGGCCCCCACTCATGCCCACGGGGTTCGCAGAAGGACAAGGTTGGTTCGCCTGGCCGGTCAGTCGTCACGAAGAGGAGACGGATCAAACAAGTTCTTCTCACAAAACAGGCAACGAGGATATAGACAAGAGTCCAGACAGCGAGGGAGGGAGTGGCTCATACCCTTACGTCTCCATGAGCGACGGTTTTAGACCGATAGCACCACCAAAGAAGCTGGACTCGAGTGAATCGGACAAATCTGAGCACCTCACAACCAGCAGTGCCGCCGATGGGGATGGAAAATCCGATCAAGACCGCGAAGAGCTAGTCGAAACGTCTCCTTCGACCTCACTGAGCGATGGCTTTATACCTTTGTTGCCATCATCAATATTATCATCAACATCATCACCATCAGATGAAGGAAGAACCGAAAAATCCGATGACAACCGCGAAGAACTAGTCGAAACGTCTCCTTCGACCTCACTGAGCGATGGCTTTATACCTCTAGCGCCATCATCATCACCGTTAGTATTATCATCACCACCATCAGATGAGGGAAGAACCTCGGAGGAATCAGAAACTTTGCCGCGGTCGGCCGCCCGTTCCGACGACAATGTAGACAACTCCACGAGTGAGGGTTTTACTCCTATAGCACCGCTAAATAAGGAGGGGAACGATGGCTTTATACCTCTAGCGCCATCATCTTCACCATTATTAGTATCATCAACACCATCATCATCACCATCAGATGAAGAAAGAGCCTCGTCGGAGTCAGAAACCTCGCCGCGGTCGGACGCCCGTTCCGACGACAATGTAGACAACTCCACGACTAACGGTTTTACTCCTATAGCACCGCTAAATAAGGAGGAGAACGATGGCTTTATACCTCTAGCGCCATCATCATCATCACCATTATTATTATCATCACCATCATCACCACCATCAGATGAAGAAAGAACCTCGGAGGAGTCAGAAACTTCGCCACGGTTTGCCGCCCGTTCCGACAACACTGTAGGAAACTCCACAACTGACGGTTTTACTCCTATAGCACCGCTAAATAAGGAGGAGAACGATGGCTTTATACCTCTAGCGCCATCATCATCATCACCATTATTACCATCATCAACATCATCACCATCAGATGAAGGAAGAACCTCGGAAAAGTCAGAAACTTCGCCACAGTCGGCCGCCCGTTCGGACGACAATGTAGGCAACTCCACAACTGACGGTTTTACTCCTATAGCACCGCTAAAGACGGAGGAGAACGAGCTCGAGCGTGACGAACCAGTAGCCTCAGGTTTGCCGGACGACCGTTCAGACGAGAGTGTCAGTACGACTGAGTCAGAACTTCTTACGGAAGTCACGGAGGGCGTTGTGGCAGCTCGCGATAGTTCTGACAGCGAGACTTTTCGTAAAAACACTCGTGAAAAATATACGAGACTTTGAAGAGAAAAGCAGAGATTTTAAAGAAAAAAGGTTTGAGGGAGTTCACTTAAAGCGTAAAACCCAAAATATAAGAATGTGAACACCCATGCGAACTTTTAACTAAAACGAAATTTTGCTTCGGAGCTCATTATTGCATCGCTGCAGATCTTTGAAGGAAGTGTTTAGTCATCAGCACTTGAAACACATCTCCAGCAGGTAACAACAAAACAAACTTTAATTTTCTAACCAGCGTTAAACAGAACTGATATAGGACAAGAATGTTAGACTAAATGGCTGACTAAATAATAAATAATAATAATGTAAAACATTTTGTGCATATATTCAAATGTAATTATTCTATTAGTAGGTAACCTACATACCTAAAGAAGGGATCAAACGTGAATAAGCTATTAGCGTCGATAACTTGTACAGAATATGGAGGCTTTTCTGATGAAAATAATTCAGGAGTTACCGACATGTAGGCCAAGGAAAATGTTTTAGAAGTTGTGACAAAACAACAAAATGTTTCCTAATGCAGGTTTGTACAACAACGTCGAATGCAAATACACCGACAATAAATATTATAAATGTTCAATTTCTTATCTTTTTAGTCTTTTGAATCATAAAAATGACAAGGTACAAAGATGAGTTATGAATATGATGTATTATGAGGAGATCAACAATCACTGAACATTTGGTTTTTAAGAAAAACATTTGAATAGAGGGCATATAACTTTACATTGGTTCTTAAAATTTTTCATAAGATATGCCATGAGGCAAACAACCCAAGATTATTCTTAATATATATATATAAGCGTGTCAAATATGGTTCCCATCTCAGTTGTATTATTGACAATTTATACATCATTCAACTCTCTATATAATTCAACATAGACGGGGGCGCTACAGTCTTCCCATCTTACAATTGGCTGGCTAACATGTCAGCTTCATACATGATAACTCGACCCTCCGTGTCCAACTGGTTTTCCATTTGCAACAATTTATACACCATTTAACTATCTATATCATTACCATAGACGGGGGGCGCTACAGTCTACCCATCTTACAAGTGGCTGGCTAACATGTCAGCTTCGTACATGATAACTCGACCCTTTGTATCCAACTGGTTTTCCATCTGCAAAGTGTCTCTACAAAACATGTGAAGTGAACTCTCAAGTTCAGCAAGACCAACAAAAACACTCAGATGCAACTCGTCGTTCTTGTAGCTTCGACTCACATCTTGTAGGTGTTTAAGTAGGTGATTTTGTGCTGTTAAGATATTCATAGCGTAGATTTGAATGGACACCATTCTAACTGCAGCAGTGGGGTAAGTATTGGAAATACTCAAGCTTGTTTCTCCTTCGTGATTCAGCGTGTAGATTTTGTTTTCTGCTTGTAGAAGCTTTAAGTTAGCGGGACTTAGGGTGTATGGGTCCCAGTCAACCAGTATGATGGGTTTGCCGTCGTAGCCGCCACAAGCCCCGGCGGGAAACCATTTCTGTACGGCCGTACAGAAGTCGTCGTCTGCGTCCTGTAGAAGCACGACGTCCGGTAAGCCGGTCGGCTCCAGTTGAGCCAGCTGAGCAGGGTCCTGTCGCCACCAGAGATTTGGTCCACCCTTGTACTGTACGTAAGGCTAAAAACACATTAAATCAATGTCTGCTTTAGCCATCCATTTTGTAACCAGACTACTTTAGTACTACAACTACTACACATTTTTTCCGGTCAGCGAGTGCAAGGCCTAAGGGGGCCAGTAGCTTCCGTAGCAGGCTTATAGAACTGGGGGTTTACCAGTGGTCTTCGGCTGTTTTCTGATTAGCCCAGTTGTAAATGGGGGTAATTCAACCAGGCCGGCTATGTTGTCTATATGCAGTCAGAAAATAGCACATAAAAGCTCACAAAGACTCCCAAAACCCCCAGTTAGGGGGCCGTTTACTGAAAACGGATGGCACCCAGGCTAGCTAGGTCTGCTTTGCAATTTAACTGGCTCTCACAATCAATGAAGATTGTTCACTTACATTTGTAATAATATTTTTGTAGTTAATGTAACGATAAATGTGTGTGTGCGTGTGTGTGTATTTGTGTGTGTGTATTTGTGTGTTTATTCGTGTGTGTGTGTGTGTGCGTGTGTGTGCGTGCGTGTGTATGTGCGTGCGTGTGTATTTGTGTGTGTGTGTGTATTTGTGTGTGTGTATTTGTGTGTGTATTTGTGTGTGTGTGTGTGCGTGTATGTGCGTGCGTGTGTATGTGCGTGCGTGTGTATTTGTGTGTGTGTGTGTGTGTGTGCGTGCGTGTGTGTATTTGTGTGTGTGTGTGTGTGTGCATGTGTGTGTATGTGTGTATAATGTCAACCTACCATTCTGAAAACCTCTTGCATGCCTTTATGCCCTTTGTTCTTTATCATGTCGACCAGAGATATAGACGCCGTGGCCCGTTTAAACCTGGCTGTGGGGCGATTCAGTCGGATCCAGGCGTCTTGGAATTTCTCCAACTTCCAGATGATTCCCTTCTTTCTCCAGGCCGGAGCAACTCTTCCGGACGTGCTAAAGTAGGCCCTTCCACCCTCTGTGATTGTTGCCATCAGAAGTCCTACCTAAATAAACCATGAAGACACACTTTAAACTAGAAAGGTAACATTTGCAAAGCAAATACATAATGTTTTACCTTCTCAGATGGCCTGCTCTGTTAACGCTACCGAAGAAATAAATACGAAATTCGTAACTAGCATGTCCATGTCACGAGATATCAAACCCGGAAGTTCCGCAGTGGTATATTACAAGTAGTATGCAGTGGCATATTGCAAGCGGGCAGTGAGAAAATTGCAACATGATGTAACCCAACACTAGTTACCATGGTGACAGACGTCTGGTTCAGGTCATTGACCTTATTGGGTTGGAGAAGAAGAAGAGGAAACAGAGCAAAAACAACATGTTTTCCTTCGGTAAGCATGAAAACTCACGTACCACTTCTTTTCCGACTATCGCCAGGAAAATCTTGGTGTCGGCGTCATCAACGAAGGAGTGAAAGAACGCAGGCAGGTAGTCTGTGTCACCGTATATGCCGTAAGACATGCGAATTACAGCATCATAATCTTCGTGCGTAGCGAGACGAAAGGACAGATTCTGAATCTGGTTCGCCATGTTCGAACATGGGGAGGGGGGCAGGGGGCGTGTACTGTTTCAGTACTTCTTACCTTTGCCCTGGTGGTACAAATAGTTGTACCCTACGCAACTGGTTTGAAACCTTTTGAAAATACATGAAATTTCTTAGTCCAAACCAGAGTGACTGGCACAGAACTTGAGCTGTCTTGTCACAGACGAAATGGACTGCTGTAGAGCCTGTCACCACATTGAGGTCTGTTGCACCCTAGGTGAAAGGTCATACTAGGTCACTACCAAGGTTGCGTGACGTCAAGCGCGCGTAAAGGTCAAGGGTTTATTTTAGTGAGCTTCGAAGCTTTAAAAAAACGATACAACTGAAGAAAGACTTTTGTGCTGATTTTGCTTCCAATACTAGTTATAAACAACCTACAAGTCAAAACAAAACATCTGTATGGAGACTGTATAGGAGTATTTATTGACATGTATTATGTGTAAATATATGTACACCAGCCTGGGCTATACTACAATGGAATATACTTATTAGTTACAGTAGATGCATAACTGATCATCAACTGAGGAAAACGTTTGCAGCATATACTGTGTAGCTACAACACCGATTTTAAACATACATGTAACATCCGTATCCATAATATCACCAGGGTCCATAATATCGCCACTTTGAGAAAAAGTGTGCTTTAAGATATTTTTACTGCAACATACCCTAGGTATAAACATTTGAGGTGTGCAGGAGTGCATACGAAAAGTATTTGGACCCTGGTGATATTATGGACACGGATGTTACTTGTCTGTTAAAAGGTACTTGAGCACTTGCTATTGAAAAACAACTTACTATGGAAAGTAATGAAGAGAGAAAGCATTATCTAGCAGCATTCCAGGCTTAGAAATGTATACAGAGAAAGAGCTTGATATTTGGGTGAGGTGTTATGTGCTATTTTAAATCTTGATTGGCTTTGTAAAGTTGACATTAAAGAACATGTTCCGTACAACTTCACTTCAATTATGATGATTTTTTCCAAAGTTGTACAAATGTATAACAGCTATTATGTTTGAACAACAGTAGGTACATTGTATGGAAACTGTACTGTATGTTAGTAACAGAACATGACATCACTTACATTTGTACAAGAATCAATGACCAACATGACAATCACAAAGTGACTTACATGTACAACATCCCAGCCTACACATAATATCATAACACCCAAGCATAGTCAGACACATACATGTATTGCACAGACGGTACACACTAAAATACCCATCCACAATCAACCATTAGCAATTTCTACATCAAGTCACTTTCATAGCTACCTTTGCACTTTGCATCATGATTTACACAAGTTTAGAATATTAGGGTCTACCTTGAAGACACTAGTGTACATGTTACAATTATTTGTGAGAATTTCCTTTGCAAGACATTGTGCCTTAAATACGTTCATAACTAGTCTCTTATACCTTGCTTCTTGTCTTCTTCGAATGCTTTCTTAGATATGCCATTAAATATGAAGTCTTGGCATTCTAGCTTCAGGTGATATCTTTGTTATTGACAAAATTCTGGTAAAATCATCGACATCTGCTTTGACATTGTTTCCTATACTCGGGCATCTCCAATACAAGGACTATGTACAAATCGTTAAAAATAATAAACAAAAAAATTAAAAATAAAATTACTGGATTGCTACCGATCGAACTCAATTTACAAAGCAAATGACCCTCATAATTCTGCATCTTCATCTGAAACAAAACGACTTAAGTTCATGGAAAATGATTTTCAGTATACATAAAATGTAATATGAAGCCCCTATCATAGCATTGATCCTTCATTTCATGGTAGATCTATATTTGAACAACCCTTTCTTTGATCCAGTGTATCTTTGTCTTACAGAATGTCTAGTATCTGTTGAAATATCATATTAAGTCCCCTTAGTTTATCGTTATTTATTGTTATTTATCATATGATGGTTGATTATGTGTAGGCCCTTTTTTGATCTGGTGTATCTTTGTCTTACAGAATATCCAGTGTCTGTTGAAATACCATACAAAGTTCCCCCCCCCCCAACAGTTTCATCTAATATTAGATGATGGGTCTCTATATGTAGGTCTTTTTGATCCAGTGAACCTTTGTCTTACAGAATGTCCAGTGTCAGTTGAAATATCAAAAGAAGTCCCCCAAAAGTTTTATATATCAGATGATGGGTCTTTTTTTGATCCAATTGAATCTTTGTCTGACAGAATGTCCAGTGTCAGTTGAAATATCACAAATTCCCCCAACAGTTTTATCTATCAGTATTAGATGATGGGTCTTTTTTTTTGATCCAGTGAATAATCGTCTAATAGAATGTCCAGTGTCCGTTGAAACCTCATACCAAGTCCCCCAACAGTTATATACTAACTATAGTATCAGAGGATGGGTCTCTACATATAGGCCCTTTTTTGATCCAGTGAACCTTAGTCTAACAGAATGTATGTCTATAGCGTCTGTAGAACTACCGTTTGACAATATCAGAGAGCATGTCTGTGTTGATGTTGTAGTACACGTAAGGGTAGTACTCTCCCTGTCCAATGTTCAGCCCACTCAGACCTGGAATGTCCATGGGAAGCTGAGATGTAGAAAAAGAGGAGAAAATTAGTCATGCAAAAAGTAATAAAGAACTAGAAAGGTAACATTTGCAAAGCAAATGCATAATGTTTACCTTCGCACACCGTTTGCTATGTTAATTCTTACTCAAATACATTCATATATATATTGTCTATAAGATTGCAACATTATGTAACCTAACACCAGTTACCATGGTGACAGATGTCAACAAATCAGATCATTGGCTAGGTCAGAGGTTAGTGTTTGGAGAGGAAGAAGAGAAAAAGGAAACTGAGCAAAAACAATATGTTTTTCTTTGGTTAACATAAAAAGTTCCATGCACTAGTTTGGGGGTCTTCAGAGGATGTCATCCATGAAATTAAGTCAGTGTGGCCTAAAACTGTATCATGGTATGCTTTTATGAAAAGAAGTAAAATGAAAATCTCACATCATCTACAGCGAATGAGCTGCTGTCCAGATGGCTGTACAGCTGCTGTAGGGAGTCTCTCAGCTTCCGGTGGACCTTCTTATTCAGGGGCTGCAGCAGCATGGCCTGGAAGTTTACAGGCAATCCGTATCTGTAGCAAAGGGAAACATAACAACTCATGGACAAGCCTAAAATAGTATGTTAATATCAGACCTGGAAAGGCTTCTGCCGCCTTCGAACAGATAAAAGAACCCACAGCACTTATTAAGAAGAGTAGGTGTCCTTCTGGGTGTCTTCTTCTTCTCGGGTCACCACTGCTACACTCTTCCCCTCCAATACTCCGCGCATGCCCTTCCTCTGGGGGTCAGGGCTTCCAGGTCCTCCTTGGTCCAGGGTTTGGGCAGGAGGGGTCAGAGTGAGTGTTTGAGTTGTTTGAATCTTACAGCCCAGTCTTACATGGCTTGTACTTGCTGTACAAAATGTGCAAATGTTATGTGCAAAAAAAAAGCAAAGAACCGACCTAAGCATAGCCAGAGGTCTCATGTAAGAGGAGATCCACACCTCGAGCACTAGTATGAAAAAGGCAGAACACAGCTTAATGTACAAAACTGGCAATTTACCAGTTTTGTGAAACAAAAGCCATGCTGGCTCAGAAGAGGATTAAGTAAGTAAAAAACAAAGAAAGAACAAACCTTAACACAGACTCCACAAACACACGTATTGAGCATTGACGTGGATCCAGTCTGGTCTTACTCAGCTTGTACTTGCTGTACAAAACTGATGGGTTATGCATAAAAAGAGGTTTACCAGTTATTTTAAAGAAAGAACCAACCTGAGCACAGACTCCACAAACACACGTAGAGCCTTGACATGGATCCAGGCCGTGAACGCTTCACTGAAGTTTACCTTCAGCCATCTCACCAGCGGACCCTGAAAAACAAGAAACAATTCTCTTTTTTTTTCCAACATTTCATGACTAGACATGGTGACGGTACACTCAAGTTATATCAACTTATTTCAGGCCGCTATCAACACAGAGGACAAATAGAAGACAAGACAATACTCATTTTCACTTGGGTTAAGTGAGGAAAGTTGTGTAAAGTGCCTTTCCCAAGGGCTGCCTTTCCCAAGGGCACAGGGTTAGTGGCATGTCAGGACTCGAACTCGGGACCTCTTGGTTTTGGGCCGAACGCTCTAGCGTTATGCCACACAACCCAACATTAAACAACTCTCATTAAGTGTATGTTCTCAGTTTGTGTTTGATTGTATCATAACTACATGACATGGACAGAATGTACTTTTGTTGGCAAGTTAGCCCTTGGGCTGCACTGGCTGTGTTTAAACATGTTAGACAATAGCAGAGAAAGCAGTATGTACCTTTTTAAAGTTTTTGGTATGACCCAGCTGGGGTTTGAACTCACGACCTCCCGGTTACAAAGCGAGCACTCTACTGATTGAGCTACTGTACCGGTATTGTAAGGATATAGTGTTGTTGTTTTTTGTGGTACGACTTACAAATTGTTTCTTCTTGTCGGAGGCGAGCTTGGAGAGCTCATTTTTCCCAGCAGTCATCTCTTCCTCGTTATACTGGAAATCTCTCACCACAAATCTGGGGAGAAAAACAAACGACAAAAAAAGTCAGGATAAAGTCCTTTGTAGCCATAAAAATAAAAAAAGAAAGGTAACATTTACATTGCAAAATGCATATACATAATGCTTACCTTTGCATATGGTCTTACTCAAACACATTTATATATACCCGGTATAGTCAGACAGGAGTCTAAATCCCTCCTGCTATAAAATTGCAACATGATGTAACCCAACACCCGTTACCATGGTGACAGACATCTGGTTTAGGTCATTGACCTTATTGCAGAAGAAGAGGAAACAGAGCAAAAAAACAATAATGTATTTCTTCAGTAAACATAATAAATTGGCCATGAAGAGCCTATGTGTTACACTAGGTTGCCTCTCCATCTTATACAGAGCAAATCTACCCTCTAGGCTCCTGCGTTGTAGGTTTTGGGTTAAGCCTTCTGTTTTGTCTGACTTTTCCTCACCTGTTTTCCCGAGCGTGATGCTTGTATTCGTCGACCACCCGTGTGAACATGGTGACTGTGAACAGGCCGTGGTCATGGTCTTCGTATATCTTCCTGTGAACAGACATGAACACAAGGCATGGTTTAAGAACAAGGAAAAGAGGGAGAAACACTTTCTTGTCTACAGAAGTGTAGTGGGTGACTGTGTGTGTCAAAAACATATGAAGTGACTTACTTGGATGATCTAGGAACCACCATGTCCGTTAGCGTCTCATACTTTTCCTTCCAGTCATCATAGCATTGCCTACGGACAAAAAAATTTGATGAACATAAAGTGAATTACAGTATGGTATGACAACTGAATATCTGAATCAAGATGTGTGATATTTATGAAGTAACTTACTTGGGAACCACCACCAGTAATGTCTGTAGGTACTCAGAGTCCATCACAAAGTCCTCCTTCTTCACCAGATCTCCCAGACTTCTGGTCAGGAGACTGCCACTGGAGGATAGGTAAAAACATATCAAAGAACAAAATAAGAAGACAAATTTTCTTACCGTAATACATGTATATTGCATATATACACAATGCATTCGTGGGGATTGTTAAGAGGACATTTGGAGGGTTGTCCAAAGAACTTATTTTTTTTGTGTGAAACTGGTGGGTACTATATCATATACATGTACTGTGAAGTAGCATGCATGTTTTACTTCCTGGCATAATAATCTATTGATAAATAACAACCACTCCAGATTTAAGTGCTTCTTTAACAGCTTCACCTCAAGAATAGGCCTACAAATCACAAAGCAGATCTTTCGGTGGCCACAAAAGACAGTATCCACTGGCCACTTCGGTGGCTAAAGCACACTCCTCTGGCTAATGGATACTGCCTTGCCACCGTATGATCTGCTAGGAGATTATAGGCCTGCGACCCCTACCAGTAGCTTATGTCCAGATTTAACAGGACAGAAGTATGTCCAGATTTAACAGGACAGAAGTACAACCATCCTTACGTTGCCTTTCTCTCCATAGCCTGTAGATTCCCCTTCAGGTTGTTGTAGGCCTGAGACTTGCTCTTTAGATCTGTGTCAATCTGGCTCACTTGCTGCAAGGCAAATTATATATATTACACATTAACAGTCTTAATGTGTATTTACCTTCATTACCAGAAAGGGGTGCTAATACATTACAGGTACTGTACTTTGAATCAGATGTTCAAGTGTTGGGCTTCAAATATGCCGTGCATGCAAGAAACTTGGATGATGAGTTTAAACTTTAAGTGATATTCATGACTGGCAGTCCTAATGTACTAGTACATGTAGTTGAAAGTCATTAGACTAAATTGTGTGTGTGTAAAGTGCAACAGTTAATTAGGTCTTGAGTCTTACCTTTCCAATGATCTCTGAGATGTTCTTGAGTGACTGCTTGATGGGGTATTTGGCCATGTCCCACTGGAATCTCTTGATGTAGGTGGCCAAATCAACTACAATGTAAAAAAAACAAGCAAACAAACAAACATCAATAAAGGTTAGACATTAAGGTAATGAGATACACAAGGAAACAGTTACTCAAGCAACTGCATAGATTTTGAAAACTGTCAGATGTTGCAAGTAGCATCCACTAAAGTCACTGACAAAAAGATTGGATGCTACTTGAAACATCTGACAGTTTTCAAAATCTATCCAGTTTCTTGAGTAATCATAGAGTTTTTTTTAATCATATATTGCTAAATGATGGGTCTTGTTAAAGGTAGCCAATCAGGTAATGTGTTACATGAGACTCTGTTGTCTAAAGGTAAAACATGAATGTATTCCTCACCTCCATTGGCCAGAAGGTTTTCCTGCAACTTGTCCTTCTGGTCCTCTAGAACATCACCCAGATACTGCGCAACTTTTCTAGCAACACTGCAGAAAAATAAAATTATTCATCAGCCAATACATGGTAAAATTAGTGTCCTAAAACTAAACACAAAAAATTTTGCCAATACTAGTTCATATAAGTAGTTAAAAAATTGTACTTTTTGTGTGTATACATTTTTGTAAATACATGTACATGTATTTATGTGTGTGTGTGTGTATAGATACACTGTATGTGTCTATATTGATAATTCATTCATAAATATTGTATTACCTTTCTACATAGCTGTCCAGTTTGCCAAGTTCATCAGACAAGCCAACCAGGATGTCCAGGGTGCCAACCTGAGAAAGAGAGGGGCAACATTGGCATTTCTGTTTACATTTTCTACTTATGTTGTACATACAATACTACTAGTATATATTTATGGATTTGGTAGTGGCCAATGGTTAATACAGGCCGCCAATATAGACTCTTCCCTTGTCCTACAGAATCTGCTTGGAGATGATATGTACATGTAGTCATGATATGCAACTTCTATGATAACTGCCATCCCATGAAGTCATAATAAAGTAGGCCTATTATTATAGTATTATAAGGCCTATAGCTAGAAACAACCAACCTTTAAGTCAGGAATGTGGAACTTGGTGTTGGAAGACAGAGTCTGAGTTTTAGCCGTGCAGTTGTTCATTTTCTCCCATGTCTGTTGGCAGGTCTTCTCACCCGGGGCAGAGATCAGCCAAAACTCTGACATGGTGCACTGGGAACGAGAATTAGAAAGTTAGATATTCAACATTTGACACTGACGAATACTAGTAGTAATGTTTGACTTTTCAAAACCTATGCAGTTGCTTGAGTAACAATTTCTTGTGTATATCTTTACCTGGATGTCTAACCTTCATAATTTGTATAAACTTACAATGTAACGTTACATGTAAAATTTATCTTTATGTCATAACCTGTGCCGTCATAAAGCTTAGAAGAATAATCTGAAGGCCACTGTCAAAAAATCAGAATTATTCTGTTCCCAATTCTTCGTGAAATTATAATTTCGCGGAGGAAATTATATCTGAGGAGTGAGGAGTGAGAACCACATCTTTCACTTGCAAAGACTTGACTGAGATCTGAGCAAGTAATATTTGGACAAATTATTCACCATTTAACCTGTCTTTGGGTGTATATACAATATCAGCCAACGCACACCTAAAACACATTCAAACCATCCCTTTCGGTTTACTTATGGACATCATTTTCTCATATAATTTTACAAAGTCGACGGAGCTTCCACTGCGCCCCCCTCCCCCTTTGACCGGGCTATGTCGACCGACACACCTACAATTTTTCCCGGTTTTTTTCTACGTAAAACACTTTACCTGTAGCGTTTCTGCACTTAGAGGAGTTTGAAACTATTCGCCTGTGGTACCAGGAAGGTTATACTTCAGTTATTAGACAATAATTTGTTATATTTTTACGACGAATTAAAAATCACGACCTTCCAAGCGACACCACACATTATCATGTGATGTGACACAGAGCATAGCATCGTATCCGTGAACCATGATTCGCACTACTGCATTTCTTAGCATTATCGCAAGAGGTCACTGCTAGCAAGACAGAAAATCACCCCATTCATGTATCTAAAAGTTTTGAACTTTATTCTTTGTTTTTGGCCAATACTTGGTTCATAGAAACATAAAATACGGAGCTGGTGTGTTGCACAGAAGGGTGGTTATACCGGCTATAAAGATACAGATACAGAACTGTCATCTCCAAGTAGATGCTACGGTGGCAAGGCAATATACCAATGGGCCAAGCAGTTAATTTATATAAGCTGTATATTGCCTTGATTTCTTCATCCAGAATATCTTTTATATTGCCTCCCTGAAATCGCATTGGATGGACCTTTATATAGCAGCCATAGAATTTAATTGCAATGCACAGGGGGTGCCCAAAGAATTTATCAGAATTTTACGGAATACATACGATCCTTACTGAGGAAACATACGAACTTTACGGAATAGGATCCTTACTAGAAACATACGAATTTTACGGAATACATAGGATCCTTACTAGGAAACATACGAAGTTAACGGAATACATACTATCAATTACTAGGAAACATACGAAGTTTACGGAATACATAGGATCCTTACTAGACTACTAGAAACATACGAATTTTACGGAATAAATACGATCAATTACTAGAAACATACGAATTTTACGGAATATATACGAAGTTTACGGAATACATAGAATCCTTACTAGAAACATACGCATTTTACGGAATACGTACGATCAGTTACTAGAAACATGCGAATTTTACGGAATACATACGATCAATTACTAGAAACATACGAATTTAACGGAATACATACGATGAATTACTAGAAACATACGAATTTTACGGAATACATACGCTTACTAATTTGGAGAATGAGTATGCGCCGAATCGTGCGCTATGTTCACAGCGGGTTTGACAGATGTTCCATACATGTGTGTGTGTCGTCCGAACTGAGCGCTCTGACGTTACTGGTGTGTTTTTATCGTCCGTTTTTACAAAAACTGAGCCATTTTACGCCGTCTTTTTCGTCAAAGTTAGCAGATAGAACCGTCATGGGAAGGAAACTTCAGTTAGAATTCTACCGGTAGCTTCTGGAGGCAACGCTCGGGCGAAAAACTCAGCACTCACCGAAGCTAACGGTACAGGGCTCCCGGTGTGGTCCCGACGGAGAAATTCTACACAGGTTTGTCTTCATGTGTCTCCTTTTCTCCGCAATTTTCGCCGTAATATCTCACATTTCTAGTACAACCTTGCACAGATTTTTTCGATAATTTTGCTTACTTGATATTTTATTAACGTAGCCTTATTTTTTTGGGACAAGTTCGTCTCTTGCATACCGTTATTTGACCCTGACTGTGTATCGAAGAGAGGGAGGGGGGCAAAATTATGCGGTTAATTTTATACTTCAGCCTGTTGAATCCTTGCACGATTTAATCCCAAAATCTCGCGAATTTCGTCCCCTTATAAAAAGGAAAACAAAACCACGCCATCTTTGCTGACGTCCTTTTGTGATTTAATGTCTTCCGCCGAAGCAAATCACTACCACTTGTATTTGCGGTGAAGTGTGGTAAATAATTCAGACGTTCTTTTGTTTGTTGGCGACCAGGCGTGAGACGACATTTGTGGGGGTGTGAGCGCGGATTTGCACACTAAAACAGGATTAAATCCCGCCCTAAATCGTATTTTCATACCTATAACAATAGAGGTATTGTGTTTATGTAGGAAATGGCATACTTAGCATTTTTGGGGAGCAAAGATAGACAGATTGTGGTATTTTGATTTAACGTTACCACCCGCCGGTAATTTTATTTTATGATGAGAACACCTCAAGATCTGTCAGAGACCACCCACTTACCTATAGTTTACACACAGTGACACACACACGTCTCTCTCCCTCGCTGTCTGTCCCTCTCTCCCCCATCTCTCTCTTGTTCTNTCTCTCTCTCTCTCTCTCTCTCTCTCTCTCTCTCTCTCTCTCTCTCTCTCTCTCTCTCTCTCTCTCTCTCTCTCTCTCTCTCTCTCTCTCTCTCTCTCTCTCTCTCTCTCTCTCTCTCTCTCTCTCTCTCT